ACTGAAACAATCGCTCAACTCTTCGATCATCAGTCATCGTTAAGCGAATCTGAGGGTTGACTCCCAAGAGTAACTTTTACACTCCATCCAAAGGAGCAGAGTGGGACCTTTAATATATCGACGGTGAAACTACCAAACCACGTATCTCGGTTTGCGACGTCGCAGACTTCCTGTCATACTTTATTTTTTAAATGAAAAACTACTTAACATCCAGTCTTGAAAATTTCTGTGATTTTTCCTCTTTGTGCGGAGAAAATGCCGTGAAAATTTCAAGGAATGATATTGATTTGGTCTACTTCAAAAAAATAAAATGTGAGCGTAGATTTTTAAACACCGCAAACGAGATACGTGGTTTGGTAGTTTCACCGTCGATATGCCTTATATGCATCTATGCCTATCATATGCCTCTTTAATGTATGTCTTAAATATTGCCCTTGAGTACACGTTTAAGAAGTCCATTCATTCATCCGAACTAGTGGCGAGGTGTGAATGATCGATTTTCGATATTTCCTCATTTGAAGCCATGGTAAAGAATCGATTATTGAGGTGTTCGTCGCAACCTTCCGTCTATCGATCCTTTCCAATAGGTTTAAATGACAGATCAATCGATTTATCGCAAAGCACGCCACGCCACTGATCCGAACCTCTCGTGTGCAACAGAGCGATTTGCTGCCAAAAACAAACTGAACCAAAGTTGAAACTTGAGCGAAAGCACAGCGGATCGGAACAATGAGAGCGGAAAGCTCAAAGTTCGGGAACAAATTAGCGGTTTCCGTCGTCGCGTCGCGTCGAGTCGAGGGAAAAAAGTTCAATTAGAAAAGTTCTCACTTTCAATTAAGCGCAACCGGAGCGGAAGCAGACCAGATGCTCGCGACGAAACCCCACCGACCGAGCTTGTTGAATTTCGGCGGAAACCTGGGATATTCACACAAAATTCGCGGATTTTCTGTGGATTTTGACAACGTCGCAGCCAGTGGCGTGGCGTGCTTTGCGATTTATCGATTGTTCCGCCATTTAAACGTATGGTAAAAAATCGATTATTAAGGTGTTCGCTGCGAACACCCTGTCTATCGATCCTTTCCCATAGGTTTAAATGGCCAATCAATCGATATATCGCAAAGCACGCCACGCCACTGGTCGCAGCCGAAACTCAGAGCCGTCTGGAGTTCGTTCGCTGTGGAGTTCAACGGTTAACAATAAATCACTAGGCAAGCAGTGGCGATTTTGCGAAGTGGCAACACTGTATTTCCTCCATGTAAATCCATGGAAAATATCGATTCTAGGTGAGGCAAGCTGCTTCGCTGAAAATCGATTGTTTTACGTGCATTTAGATAGAGCAAAAACAGTGCTGCCACCTTTCAAGAATCACCATTAGGCGGGGTATAAAATCAAGCTTCACAATGCATGTTCCGTCATCAAAATTTTGGGGTTGAGTACGATTGACGCACTGGGACTCTCATAATTCAACTCAGAACTGAGGAGAAAGCGTTTATTGGATTACATTTTGCTGTAAGGAACTAAAATATTTGACTCATCCATAAAAGCATCTACCCGCATAGGAAAGCTAATGGCACTTATTTTATTTCAAAAATTAGCTAGAAACTAGCTGCTCCGGGCGCCCTACGGGCGCCCTCCACAGCTAGCAATNACTAGTTCTTTATCGCAAAATGTAATCCAGTTCAAAAAAAAAAAAAAAAAACTTCTTGAGAAATTTTATGAAAGATTTGAGATTTATTTTTGATCAATTTTCTCCCCTCTATCTTTTGGTTTCCATGAGCGTTGGAACGAAAATTCCGGGCAATCTTAGGTTCATTATTCCGCCTTTTTTTCCTCCGGAAAAGTCAGAGCAAGGGCCTCTGAATCAATTCCAAACTCCGGGGCATAAATCCATCCTTATTCTAAATACAGGACTGTGAATCGTTGAGCAAAGAAGTTCGGAAATCAATGTAATTTTGGTTAGGGGAAAGTAATAGGTTTTTAAAGCGTGCCAGTAGGGTCGCTTTTTTTCTTTCCTGAAGCCTATGGCCTATACAGCCGTGCTGAAAAAGAACGCCGTATGAGCCTTCAGACGTTGCCGAATTTCCTTCGAGAAAAACAGAATTTACTGGGAAAATTGTAAATATGTTTTTCCAACATTTTCAGACAGTATTGTACGCACTTGAAATCAAACAAATCTGAAAGTTTCAAGGGAAGTTATGCTCAAATTGCGTCAAAAACACATGTTTTATCAAGGGAAATTTAGAAACTCTCGAATGTTCATACGGCGTCCTTCCTCAGCACGGCAGTATAAAAATGTCAAGTATCGATCATCAGACAGCAGAGGACATTCGTCGAAAACAACGACTATTCCAATCTTTCAAGCATCAAACGGAAAGAAACGATGCGCCACAGCGTCATATTTCTTTCAACCGAAAGGGTTCGAGACGTGCTACGGCAGAACATACGCAATATCAGACGCGTATAAACGGTCTCGGGGAACAGAGAGAAATCGATGCAATTCGTTTCGAAATGGACGTATTTATGCTAAAAGGAACTATGTGTACACGGATTGCGTGTGGCATAGTTCCTTTTAGCATAAACACGTCCAAATGGAACGTCAAACGCACCGACCACCAATCAAAACGGCCCTCTATAAATTCTGACGTCACCCTCACCCTCAACAACCCCCTCCGCAAAACAATAAATAAATGAAAAATCCGTCGGATTAATCCGATGACGTCATACCGAGCGAGCTCGTCAGTCACGTCATATCCACGCGTGCGTTTTCTGGGGGCCGTGACCCCCCCCCCCCCCCCCCCGCGAATGGGTCGGTGGCGGTCGTTGCGAACGTCATCAGAAAAGCCCCCATCAAGCGGCGCGCCGCTCAAAGCTCCCTAGCGCCTTTTTTACCGCTCGACGCATTCATTAGTCCGCCGGCGTTATGCGGGTTGCCGCCCGGGGATTTGTAGGCGCGCGATGAGTATTGCGGGTCGCCGCGACGGGCTTTGTAGGCGAATCGATGAATATTGAGTGGAGGCCTCCGGCCGACCCACTCGCCCTTTTCCCGGTTGCGTTTAACCGAGAATAGCCTTTGTTTATTTATACACCCGCCGAGTTTTCTTCGTTGGATTCCGGTACGAGTCGCGAGGGCGGATTCATACTTTGTAATTCTGAGTACTTGGCCATTGTCTCGCTTTTGTCCTTTGTTAATTTACCGCCCACGCCGCCTTGTTCCGTCTTGAAAGAAATGCATGCGCTCTTATTTTTCTCGGAATGACGCCCTTTTTACCGCAAGATGTCTCGAGATCCACTCCGTTTTCAAACGGCATCGAATGTGGGCTTTATTTGCGTCAATTGTGGCGAAGCTTCTTTTTCTTCTTTTTTAACCCTTGTGTCTTAAACGATCACAATCTCATGAATTGCACCTGAGAATATTGTGGCCATGATCGAAATCTTAAGGTCTTTTCCACACGAACGCGGTTCGCGGAACCGCAGGCGAACTTGTTCCAGAAACTTATCATGACTTAGCTATAACTTATTCCGCGAAACCCTAGTTCGTTGAACGAATTCGCGCCGACTGCGCTTGTGTGGGCAAGATCTAAGAACTAGAATCAGCGTCATTAGCCTTCAAAAATGTATTCGTAATATCAAGCAAAAATAAGGCATTTTAACGCATGCATAGGCATGTATATAATGAAGTACGAGTTCCAAATAGTATATATGGAATCATAGAAAAAGCAGCCAAGTGACATATTGGTCTAAAATGTGGTAGGAGTAATTTGAGCTCAACTATCCATTTCCTTCTGTTAACAATTCAAAGTTGAGAAAAATGCTTTATAGTGAAAATATGCGCCGATGTTTACTGCGAATTTTGTTATGGAGGAATAAAAATCCATGAGGCGGATGAAGAATGGTGGTCGCATTTTGTACCCTCTATCTGGACGTCTGGACGTCACACGGTATCTGGTACATGGGCCGGCTCAACCTCGAATTGCACGGCAAAACCCGTACCTTCCTGACGTCACTACGCTTCAAGATGGCAGCCAAAATCGAAATGTGACCACCATTCTCTATCCGCCTTGAAAAATCCAAACCTTTTTTCTCAATTCTGTCTCGATTAGCAGTGGCGTGGCGTGAAGGATCGGTTATCGATATATCGCCATTTGAAGCTATGGTAAAGAATCGATTACTAAGGTGTTCGCTGCGAACGCCCTGATAATTGATCTTTTTTCATAGGTTTGAATGGCGAATCAATCGATGTATCGCAAAGCACGCCACGCCACTGTCGATTAGACTTGGACTGCGTTACACAGAAAGGAACCAAGCCACATCAGCTATTGCCAAATTTAATCGGGCAATTTAAATTTTTACATGAAAACGGTTGTGCGGATTTTTGTGCAAATTTCAGTGGATTTTCTCCAGAGTACGAAGCTAATTCCTTAAAAATTTCAAAGGAATCCACACAAACGTCCTCTCCAAAAAAACTAAATGGCCCGATTAACTTTGGCAATAGCTGATGTGGCTTGGTTCCTTTCTGTTTAACGCACGGAGAAAAAAAACTCGTGCGTGGGACCCGAAGTTCAGGTCATATGGATCTCTGAAGTTTTCAGATTGAGCATCTGAACACTTCAGGTCTAGCTGCTGAAGTTCGGATCATACATCTGAAACTTCAGTTCTTACATCTGAAGTACTTCGGTTCTCACATCCGAAGTACTTCGGTTCTCACATCCGAAGTACTTCGGTTCTCACATCTGAAGTACTTCAGATGTAAGAACTAAAGTTTCAGATGTATGATCCGAACTTCGGCAGCTAGACCTAAAGTGTTCAGATGCTCAGTCTGAAAACTTCAGAGATCCATATGACCTAAACTTCGGGTCCCACGCACGAGTTTTTTTTCTCCGTGCGCGGTCCACTTGGTTCTCTTCTATGAAACTGATCCGCGAAATCTTGAGTAGTTAGACAGTCTGTCATACAGTTGATTTCATTTCCCTGGAGACTAATTGAATTCCTTTCTGTTGCAGTGTCAATTGATGAAGATGCCAATGCACTAGCGCCTGCGAGTCGTGAGACGCAACCAGGATGGCGGCGTGCGGTGCGCGGTGGCCGATGCCTGCGCGGTCGGAGAGGCACTGCAGCGACGTGACGTAGTGGCGGATGCGAATCGATGAGCTCCGAGCCGGCGTGACGTGGCCCCGGTCCCCGGCGTGACGTGGCCCCGGCCCCCGGCGTGACGTGGCCCCGGTCCTGCGGTCGGTCCTGAACGGAGAATGAGCTCCACCGGCGACAGCCACACCAAGTCCCTCTGCCCGCGGCTCGTCGACTACCTGGCCATCGTCGGGAGTCGAACCGGGCCCCCGAGAGCCGCCCCCGGCCCAGGCAACATCAACAGTGCCTCGCCGCCCATACAGGTAAGCCCTCATCTTTTCCTCTCAGCCCCTTCAAACCCTGAGCTAGGCAATCAGCCAACTCTAAACTCTGGATTTTGTCCCCTTCAAAGTCACGCGTATGAACCAGGTTCATCCGTTTACAGGCATAGGTTACGGATTACAGGTGTTCCCCTCAGCCCCTATCAAACCCCGAGGTAGGCAATCAGCCAACTCTAAACTCTGTATTTTGTCCCTTCAAAGTCATGCGTATGAACCAGGTTCATCCGTTTACAAGCATAGGTTACGGATTACAGGTGTTCCCCTCAGCCCCTTCAAACCCTGAGGTAGGCAATCAGCCAACATTTAACTCTGTATTTTGCCCCTTCAAAGTCTCGCGTATGGAACCAGCTCCATCCGTTTACAGGCGTAGGTTACGGATTGCAGGTTTTTCTCCCAGCCCCTTCAAGTCCGTAAGTAGATAATCAGCCAACATAGCACTCTGTATTTTGCTTCTATGAAGTTATGTTTATGCAACCAGAGCCACCTGACCTACCCACATTGTTTCACAGGCGAAGGCCTAGCAGTCGATTAACTGCTGCACTAGAGGACTGTTGCCCTCCCCCTCCTTGTCTTTCATTTTCTTTCCATTAGTTGGAATCTACTACTTTAGATCACTGTTACTTGTAGATGGCCCCTTCAGCCCCGTAGGTGGGCAATCAGCAATCAGTAAACTGCAAATTCTGCATGTTGGCCTCTTAAAGTTACGGGTTCGCAATCAGATTCCTAAACCGTGTCCACGTCGTCTCGCAGACCAAACAGCCCGATTATTAAAATTTTGTCAGTCGACCTGATAAGACACACGGAGAAAAAAAACTCGTGCGTGGGACCCGAAGTTTAGGTCATATGGATCTCTGAAGTTTTCAGATTGAGCATCTGAACACTTTAGGTCTAGCTGCCGAAGTTCGGATCATACATCTGAAACTTCAGTTCTTACATCTGAAGTACTTCAGATGTGAGAACCGAAGTACTTCAGATGTGAGAACCGAAGTACTTCGGATGTGAGAACCGAAGTACTTCAGATGTAAGAACTAAAGTTTCAGATGTATGATCCGAACTTCGGCAGCTAGACCTAAAGTGTTCAGATGCTCAATCTGAAAACTTCAGAGATCCATATGACCTAAACTTCGGGTCCCACGCACGAGTTTTTTTTCTCCGTGCAAGACAAGAGAGGAATGGCGTTATGTGCTTTTACGGTTCTCTGAGTAATCATCCTTGTCTTGCCCAATAAAAGGTGGTGCTGACGACAAAGTATCGGCAACTCAAGAAGTAAAGCCTCTCATTGTTTACTCTTATTCCCTGCATCACAAGGAGAACTTCTCAGAAAACCATCCAATCACACAACTTAATTCCTGTTTTATCTTGTCTTATCCGGTCAACCAACACAAAATTTTAATAATTAGATTGCAGGTCATTCCACCACGAATTCGAGGTACTGATAGACACAAGAAATCCCTTCAAAACCGCAAACACGCAACCAGCGAACGTTTTATTCTTAATTTTACCCCTCCTTCAAAGTTACGGCTACGCAACCAGAGTCATACCCTTGGCTCACAATGTTTAACAGACTTAGGTCATGCAATCAAGAATCTGTTGCATTAGAAGACTGATTTGCGTAAGGTGCTCCTTCAAAACCAAGGATAGGCAATTGACGACCAGCTATTGCGTTAAGTGTGACACGTGCGTGAAAGTGCTTAACGCAATTCTGGAGAATCCGCACTCACGCCCGAAAAAATAAAAAAAAAGTGTTAAAGACCCAGTAAAATAAAAGGCAGGTGATTTATCCTCCGTCCTTGCGATCTCTCCTGATGTAAGCGCCTTGGTGTGTCGGAAAGAACCTCGAAGAAGGTCCACGGGTCGTAAATACGGCCCCAAGGCCCGCAACTTGTATTATCCCGTTTATTCAGGAAGTTCGCTCAACTTTAACTCCAAGCCGTAAGAAAAACATAAACTTGCGTGCGTGCGAACAACTTTACACCCATTCCCTTGCGAATTACTGCCGCGCCAAGAAAGAAAGTCGTATGAACTGTTAGACGTTGCCAAATGTCTCCCGATGAAAAATGATTTTTCAGAAAGCTGTGAACGGTAGTGTAAATCGTTGCCGTGGATTAGTGGGAGTGTCCTAAAAATTGTGGGGGCTGAGAGGGTTTTGTTGTTCAAAGGTTCTCCGACGTTTTTGACTCTTGTGGAATGATACGAGTGTATGACTAAGCTCACATCTTAAAGTTTAACAAAATTATTATTACCGCACTGTGTTTGCATTCTCGCGAAAACCCATCGCATTTTCAAAATTGAATGTTTTGATCAGAGCGTTGCGTCGGCCACTTCGCGGAACCCAGCGCGATGCAGAAAATTGCAGAGGCCTCTAGAACAATTGGACTTCATTTTGCGATTAGGAACTATACAATGTATAATTCATCGGTAAAAACCACTAAAATGCATAGGGGAACTAATGGTGAATACACTGAAAAAAAGATTGGTAGAATTTACAATCATTCTTCAGGGTGTCTACAAGTCCGGAAATAGTACTGATTTTTTAAGGGCGGTCTGGAAGCACTGAAAAAAAGCAGAAATTCCGCAAGAAGGTCTGGAATTTTTTTGTCATTTTTGTCGAAATTTGAGCGAGAAACTCAAAATTTTGAAATTTTCCGAATTTCGTCAAATGGAGGTACTGAAAAAGCACTGAATTTCTCTGTTGAGGAGGCATTGAGTTTCTTTATACATAATGTACTGAAAAAGTACGGTAAAAGTACTGTAGAAGTACTGATTTTTGGCCAGCCTGTTTTACTAGACATCATGTTCCTTCACGCTGTACCTATTTGACAAAGCGTGAATTCAAAGTCGATTCTGCCAGAGGAATGGTTACCTGTACCAACACATAGTAACGTTTACCTTTCTTCTGACAGAATTGGCTCTGAATTGACGATGTGTGTTTACATTGTCTCTATTCTGAGCCAGAAATTGTAGCTCCCTATTGCAAAATGCAGTTCAATTTGTGGTTTGCCACGTGGCTTGTCAAGACCGAGCGACAGCAATTGATTCGCCTTCAATTTCAGTGCGTATGCAACATACCTACCACGGAGCGCGAATAGTTATCTACTCGAAAAGCATACGCTAGTCCAGCTCCACAACTCTTGATAGAACCTATGGACTTTACTGAAGTCTTTTGATTTTTACGTTCCATCTAATTGCAAAATGCAGTCTAATTCACCCCCCTGGTTGTAAGTACAGGGTTGCCACAGTCAGGGAAAACCGGGAAATGACGTAAATGTCGAAAATGTCAGGGGAAATTTGTCAAATCTCCTTTATTTGCGTTTTAAAATAGGTTTGAGGTTTCGAACTACAAATTTTGCCTGAAAACTATTTTCAATTATGTCTTCTTAACCGTTTGCCGTATCTTCAACTGTCAAGGCATTTCACCAAAATGTGTCAGAGAAATCAGGGAAATGTCAGGGAATTTCATTTTCCAGTTTCTGTAGCAACCCTGTCAGTACTTTTCCTCAAAATTTTCAGATACCTTGGATCAGATTGTGAATCATATTCTGTGAATCATAAGAGAAAAAATATTCACAAGCTTCTCTGATATTGTTCTATCGATTGAAATTTGGCAACGTCTGATATCTCATCCTTTGGACGACGGTATAGGTGACCAGTGGCGTGGCGTGAATTGCGATGTATCGATTGTTATGCCATTTACACCCATAGCAGAGAATCGATTATTAAGGTGTTCGCTGCGAACACCCTGTTTATCGATCCTTTTCTATAGGTTTGAATGGCAGAACAATCGATATATCGCAAAGCACGCCACGCCACTTTAGGTGACGCTTTATTAACCGTAACACCGGACGCTACGCCGCGCATACCTACTTTACGACCTAATCTCCAGTTGCTGTTGCCGGGGCAAAAATGCAATTTCTCTTCACGGCCAGGCCGGTTAAAGTCGCTCAGGCCCCTCGCATCGTGTTGCGTCGCGTGAAGGATCGACTATCGATTTATCGCCATTTGAAGCTATAGTAAAGGATCGATTACTAAGGCGTTCGCTGCGAACATCCTGATTATCGATCTTTTTTCATAGGTTTAAATGGCATAACAATCGATATATCGCAATTCACGCCACGCCACTGCCTCGCATCGTGTTGCGTCGCGCGTCGCTTTTTCCGGGCGCTAATGGGAAAAGCGAGGCGACCTTTGCAACCTAATTTCTCTTGTCGTAGCGCGGCAGAATTTCCCCCTCTAATGGGTCTCTTGCACAAAAGAGATACAGCTAACTCGGTGGATTTTGATAGGTAGGAGCGCACGAAAGTCAGGTCGAGTACTTCAGAAATGTCTGTAATGCACTTAGAGAGTCCACGGTGCCTAGATCCGGAAAATCTAGGAAAATCTGGGATTCATTCAGGAAAAATCAAGAATCTGTTCAAGACAGGGCTCCCACAGTCGGAGAATATCGGGAAAACCAGGACATGTCAGGGATTTTTAAAAAGTCAGGGAAAATGTTGAAAGTGCCAGGGATTAATTGTTAATTCGCCTTTATTTGCTTGTTGACGTTTTGAACAACAAATTTTGCCTGAAACTATTTCAAATTATGTCTTATCAACCGTACGGCATGTCTTCAATTTTCAGGGGATTTTACTTAAATGTATCAGGGAAATGAGGGAAATGTCGGGGAATTTCATCTTCCAAATGTAGTGGCAATCCTGTCAAGAAACTGGGAATTGCTTCTTCTACCGCTTTGAAACGAATTTCTATCTATTTCAGAGTGTAAATTATAAGAATTCTGGCGATACTGCTCGAAGGCATACTTTTATTCATGTTAAGCTCTTATGTTTTCATACGAGGGAAAGAAATAAAATCCAGAATGCAGTGGGGAATTTAGGTCTTTTTGGTTTGATAGGTGTTTATAGTGTGGGATGCATACCTTAGTCTCTGAAATGGATGTTTCATTTCTTGCATGAGTTTTACACGCTCATGAAATTGCACGGCATGTT